GGATATTCCTCTTCAGAACCAGCTGCTATATTCTAATAGGCCCAAGCCACATGGAAGGCCATGTTTAGGTGCCCCAGCTGGTGACTACCATTGAGCTCAGGTCAACAGATGGCATTAACTGCCAGCCATGTGAATGAGCTACCCTGGACTTCCAGCTCAGTGGAGCCTTTGGTTAACCTTGGTTGACATCTGAAAGCAATTGTAGTGTCCTAAGTAAGAGCACAAGAACTACCTGGTAATTCACTGAACCACAAGAGATGATAACACATTGCTTTCTAAGCCACTGAGTTTTGTTATGGTTTGTTATGTAGTACCAGATAACCAAAGTAGTTGATGGGTTCTGTTTTAGACATGTGGAGTTTAAGATGCATGGAAAACACCAAGTGGAAATGTTCCAAAGACAATTGGATAATTTTATGTAGTTGACATCTGGAGCTGAGGAGAGACACTGGACTTCTGATTTGACAGTTAGGAACACAGAGAATGTAACTGGAGTCATGGAAGTGGGTGACAGAATCCAGAGTGATTATGTTGTGAAGAGCAGAGTCCTGAGAAACAGCAGTGTTTAGGGATCAGGTAGACGGGAGGTGAGTCAACTAAACAGAGGTATCATAGCCAAAACAGTCAGGGAGAAAGTCAAAGTGAATGTGGTATCACAGAAGCTAAGGAAAGAATATTTCAACAGGAGGGATAGGTTAACTATTAAATGGTTCCAAAAACTCAAACATGATAAAGAATAAAGAGGTTACACCGATGCTATTGACAAAGCAATGGGTAACTCTGGAGACATCCGTTTCGGTGGTGGTAAAGGTAGAGGAGGACAGTCATGAGCAAGGAGTACTGTGAAGGCCCAACTGTAAGAGGGGTAAACAGAAGGCAGAGAAGTGATCAAAGTGACCTAGCACACTATGTTCAAGAAGGCTGGAAGCGCCGGGCGAGGTGGCTCACACCAATAATCCTAGCACTTTGGGAAGCTGAGGCAGGAGGATTGCTTGAGCTCAGGAGTTCAAGGCAGCCTGGGCAACATGGTGGAGCACTGTCTACAAAATATACAAAAATTAGCCAGGCATGGTGACATGTGCCTGTAGTCCCAGCTACTTGGGAGGCTGAGGTGGGAGGATCACTTGAGCCTAGGAGGTCGAGGCTGCAATGAGCCAAGCTGTGACTGCACTACCGCATTCCGGCCTGGGTGACAGAGTAAGACCCTGTCTCAAAAATAAAATAAAATAAAATAAAACAAACAAACAAAAAATAAACAAAAAGAAGGCTGGTAGAAGAGAGAGGCAGTAGGAGGCAAAGTCAAGAGATTATTGTTTTCCAAGATGTGAAAGACTGGAATGTTCCAATGTTGACTGGATGGGATCAGTAGAATGAGGACATTCTGAAGAGAGAGAATGGAATTGAAAGGACCCATCATGCAAAAATGAACCTGGAATATGGGGAGAAAAGGTGAACGCACAGATCCACATACATGCAGGAATAAAGATGTGTCTACAGAAAATCAGGAGTTCCCCTTGCAAGTTTCTATTTTATTTTAATAGAATGCAAGGTCCTCTATGGAGAGAGGGTTTTGAGTACAGCAGGAGGATCTGAAATAGTTGTTGAGAAGTACGGGGGGGAGAAGTTTGTGAGGGATAGTAGGGCTGCCAACTGTTGAAGTTGGAAAGTCAGGAGACAGGTACTATTAGTCCCTCTTTACATGTGAAGAAATTGAAGCCCAAAGAAGTCAGTGAAGCAACTTGCTGAACGTTACAAAGTAAATAAACGAAGGAGCCAGGACTTGAGTATAGGACAGTGTGATTCTTTCCAGTACATTAGGCTAAATTAATTCCTTGGGCCAGGGGAATAAGTTTAGTTTCTGGACAGAGACCAGTGTTTGAGCTACAAACTTCATTCTTACCTCTTTATTCACTTTGTCCATTTCCATCAGTTTTGTCTAAGACCCTACACTTCTGATAACTCATCTCTAAAATCTGTAGGCAAAGAAGGTCTTAGGAATAATCAGTAAAAGATGATGGCACATAATAGAAATTCTTCTTTTAGGTACTAAATACCATTTAGAAGCTTTGGCTCAGTGTTAACTTAAATGCAAGCAGGGAGTTTACTGCACCCTTAGCACAATGATTGTTCCTTAGAATTATATTTACAAAATAAGAGTAAAATAGGACTGCATAAATAAGAGTATTACATTTAGAAGCTGTGAAATAATTTTCTCACTATGCTTTTCACAGTTCATTCTCCCAGCGAGCTTTGTTCAGAATTCTAAAGCTTTCTCAAGGGTTGTAATCTCCTAGAATTTCTAAAGAGATGATGTGATCTGCTTCTTGGATAGTATGTAAAATTTAAGTAGTGGGTGGTGGTGCATGGACACTGAGGTTCATCACGAGAGCCTAAAAGCAGTGCTTTGCAGGTACCTCCCTCCTTGTAAATAGAGTTCTCATCCACTCCCTGTGCCCCAGGTCTTTAAGTATTATATTTAGGAGATACTAAGAACTTGTATTTGGAAAAGGAAAAATAAGAATTCCTTACAATTTAGGGTTTTGGGGGCTATTCAAGGAATAATAAAGAAGGCAAGTAACTAATAGTTAGGTCACTCTTTTGACAAGGTCAGAGCCCAGACAGGGACAGCTTTTCCATGCCAGGAAATGTCTACAAATCCCCTAGTCCAGTTGGCAGTTCTCTAGTGCACTTACCTGATTCTGGGGCTTCCATTAACCATTCCCTATATAGGAGACTTTTACACATCTAGGAAGAAAGTACTTCGCTTATATGTACATACAGGTGCTCTAAAGGTGCACAGAACTGTATACAACTGAATTCTATGATCATTTGGGGGAACCTCAGTCCCTCTTAGAGAAGGAGGCTACCACAGCAGTACTTCTGAAATTACAGATCACAATATTTTGTAAAGTATGAAATTATTTTAGTGGGTTGCAAGTGGCATTTGTTAAAAATGAGAAATACAATAAAATAAAATGGAAAATTCCAGGATGCATTTTACAAGCCAAGGATAAATGTTATTTTGGGAAGCATATTTCAGATACATATGTATATGTGTGTGTACATGTTGGCTTTGATGTAGCATGTATTTCTTATTGCAGTGTCATGGTCAACAGCTTAAAAGTCACTGTTTTTGAGGACTCCAGCTTTATAGAAATTTCTACTAATAAAGCCATATTCATGTGATGTTCTTTGTTCTTCCAAACCTCTGGGACTGATAAGATCCTAGGCAGCCCATTCCAGAGCTGCCCTAAATTTTCTTGCAAATCTGAATAACGAAGCACCCTGCACAAAGTTACAAAGTAAACAGGTGAAGCGGCAAGGATTTGAATGTAGGCTTCTATGAGCTGGGGAGTGCTGATGTGAGCTGAGCCATTCCCTGGCAAAACACCAGGAGCCAGCACCCAGGCTGCGGGAGCCTCTGAGTCCACAGCTTTCTCAGTATCATGCTTTTCAAGGACTGTGAAACCAATTAGCCAAACTCTATTTTCATTTTAATCATAACAAAAGGTTAAGATGTTGTAAAATAAATAAAATATCCATAATAAGCTTTTGTCTCTTTGGTATAATTACAATTTGTTCAGTCTGTAAAAAAGTTCCCGACATGCATGGTTAATAAGTACCATTTGATCATTTTCACAGGAACCATGCATTTTAAGAGACAGTCTAAATTTCAGTCAATACAAACTAAAAATAAATATTTTTAATTTCTGTGTAGTTACTCATTTTGTTCATATGTGTGTTATTAATGTATTAAAAAAACTAAGGTAATTGAAATTTATGTAATTAAAATTTCCCATCTATAGTTTCAACCCTCTTTAACCCCCTCTACAGTGACTGCCACTGTCTACGTTAGGTGGGTGACATGTCAGACACCAGCTTACAGTTCTTCTGGAACATGCAGAACTTTATATAAAAAGGTTCCATATGGCGGGAGATTCATTATTATTATAAAAATCGAATGTCGTAAAATTCCTCAACCTCCCTAAGGAGAAAGAGAAGTGTCATAAAGTATTATTATTACTAAAACAGAAGATGGAAAAAAAGAATAAAAAAGTGTGCAAAGTATTCATCACAGTAAATGGGTACATGGAACACAGCAGCATATATGTCCATTACATGTGAAATAATTTCTTTCTAGTCTTGCAAAGAAACCAACCACATGAGGATAGACATATTAATGCCAAAGCTGAACACGAACATATGAGATAAGAAACAAACAGGAAGAAGAGTTAGGGGACTGCCTAAAGGGAAATAATTTATTAATCAGATGACAGAAACAGGCGTCTTCATCAGGTTGCTCTGAGGTATAAAGTATTATGATATTTTGCAAAAAGTCAGAGGATACCAATGCAAGACATGTACACACACACATAAATAACATAAAAGTATTTGTAATGTAAGTGTACAGATGTATAAATTTTTCTAAGTGTTTATATTGAAAAAATGGAATTCTCTAACCACTTAAATTCCATTTTTAATTCAGAGCCAATTGATTTCAAAATCTTTGTTAGCTCAAAGTGCAAATTCTTAAAGATTTAGAGAAAGGGCAACCAGAGAAAAGGTCAATAAATTATAATCCTTTAATGCATTTTGCATTTAAATGCTTTTATAATAAAATTAATATAGTGTTCCAACTCCACACACAAGTTGAATGAAGAAAACCTAATATACCCAAGGTAATGTAAGAGATGATACACTGAATTATAATCTATTTGCAGACAAAAAATAAAACTCAATACACACTTGCAAAAGGGAAAGGCAGAAAAGCCTAGCCATCAAATCAGAAGGCAGAAAATCGTATTATTCCTGTAATAAAAATGTGAATTTTCAACCTTTCAAGTAAATTAATTAGAAAAAACACTCATACAAAGATGATAGCTGTAATTTCGAAACCTCTTCCCTGTTCCATCTAAACTAGATGTAAGCATGGGTAAAAATAAATTTATAGAAAAGCGACGTTAAAAGAAAAACACAGGCTACATAATTCTTTCGCTTACCATTGTCTCCAGAAGGCAATGACACAGTGTTTGTTGGCATGGTATCCGAATTCACTTTTCCATTCTCAAATGTGTCATTTTCAGTCTGCTGTAGCTGCCAGTTGAGGCCAAAGAGATGCATTGCTGGGGGGAATAAACACACGTTGTTTAAAGGTCTGCTGCCTGCAGCTACAACAGCAATCGCTAAGCATGTTTAAAACCAGAGTCACAGGTTAACTTAAAATTTCCATTTTCGGAAATACCAAGGATAACTGCGCAAAGAAAATGATAAAACAAGGAGTTCCTCAAACAAATATAATTTACATAGCAACGCAGTGCAATATGGTGGCACTTCAATAGCAATTTCATACTATTCAGTTCATTGGTACCAGGAAACTCTTAGAAATCAATCATCATTTGCTCTAATGGCTCTGAGTTCCATTTTTCACCATTTTTTAAGTAACTGGTACAACACTGTGTAACAGCATTTGCCAAACTTACTAGACCACAGGTCACTTGCAAATTTATATAACTTTGCTGCAACACCTGTAGATGCTTAACAGCCATGATCCTCTGGGTTAAGGTAAAAGCAAAAACTGGTCTCACAGATGAATTTGTTGGTACATGAAATTCAGCTGTACAAAATATAATCCAATTTGAATATTCTAAACTTGGGATGAGTAATTTTTGAATTGACATACAATTTAATAATGGTACAGATGAAAAAGCATGCATATGTGTCAGGTAATTTCAAGTGAGTTTCTGATGTGGGTAAAATAATTTCATAAATTTATATTTAATAAATTTATTAAAATTTATAATTGTGTTTACTAGTTTGCTTTATTTAAAAATTTTTTAAAAAATAACTAGAAGACTATACAACCATAAATGTTAACTTTTAAGTTCCAGACATAATTTGAAATGAATACACTTTTTATTATTTTTCTTAATTTATTGACACTATTTAGAAAAACATGTCACTGTTATATTCACCTAATATACTACTCATTTGTGCTGCACAGAATATAGCTTAGGGACTAACCCCTAAGGAAGGTTAAATATCTACAGGGAAGCCCAGCGATGGTCATATTACCATATCATGAAAGAGAACTTTTTTGATATTTTTAGACATTATTTTACTTACTGTATATACTGGAATTCACCAGAGCGATGGAGGAAGAATAAGAAGGCAGTGTCTACCTTTTTGATTACCACTGTCAAAAAGCCCTTCAGACCCAATATATGAAGTAAGGGCACTGAGCTGGTTAGACTTTGGTTCAATCTTCAGTCTAGAATTTAGTCTTGGACAAATTATGTGATATTGTTAGAGATTAGGCTTACTTTTAAAAGGAGGTTTGTTACAACTACTTTATTTAAGCTCAGGTGAGAAGGTGTGGGCCAGAAGATTCTAGACAGAGCATATGAAGGAGAGCTGGCACAAAGCTAGGCAGTTCTCACTGCTGAGGTATTTTATTTAGTCTGGAATCCAGGTTACTGAACTATTTGGAGTCACCTGACTAGACCATGGCACCCCTCAATAAACAGTCCCTTCTGTCTGCAATGCTTCTCTCTGACAGGGAAATACCTGTGCATCCCTCACACCGTGACTGGGTGAAGTGTTTATTCTAAGACTATTTTAGTTCACTTTTGTGTCTCATTTGTAAGACATAACTTTATATAAGGATACAGTGCCTGATACCTAGTAGGTCTCAATAAGTATCTGTCAAATAAATGGATTAAAGTTAGGAATATTCTATTTTCTGAGATTTTAAAAATCTAAGAAAACACTGTGTGGATAAAAATATAGTAATTGAGAGAAAAAGTTAATACATAGAAAACAAATGCATAAATGGCTAAGAGAGGAGAACATGTTAATCGCTGATGAATGACTGCTTTACTATAACGCTGTCTGAAAAGCAGTTGACTGAAAGTCTACTTCTACTATATGTAATTAAACTTCAAAAACTTGGTAGTTTTACGATTTTCTATTAACAGTCCACATTCTTTTGTTAATAATACCTGATATAAAAGCATGCTATAGTAAGAAAGATACCAAAAATAGGCAGACAGCTACATCTACCCTGTATATTTTAAATAAATGTATATACTCACACTCCCTGCTGAAGTTCTCCTTGGCCAGCAATTCCTCTTAAACTCTGATTTTGATGGATTAAGATATAGGTTATAGAATTCTTGAATTTACAAGTTGTCATCTTGTAAACAGGTATAACTTTATGTGTCATTTTGCATTAAATTGCATAGTGTTTGACTTGCTAAACATTTATCACTTCATACATTTTTCAGGGTTTCAGATGCTTCACCAAGTTTTGAACAAAACAATGGGAGCTAGTTTTCCATAGAGTAAAATGTTTGACAGACATACTCTGGCATAGCAGCAACAAATATTCCAAGAGGGTCAAAGTTTCCACACAAAATAATTTGTCATCATTGTGATCTTTTAACATAAAAAGTCTTCTTGCCCGATAGGTTTGCTCATATTATCAGTTTTAATAGATTTTTGAAGAGTAGACGTAATCCACGGGACCATGCGCAGATGTCATATGTTAAACAGTAATGTGATGTTTATGTTGGGAGAGCTATTTTATTTTTTGCCAGATAGGCAAGAACTTTATATTTTTATTACAGAGAATCTCAATAAAATGGGATGCTGGTTCTACTTAAGATGCTACATAATGAGACTCATATCCAAAAACATGATCTCTTAATACTGCACTGAAAACAGAAACCAACAAGTTGTTTGGTCTTAGGGTATCATCTACTTTGAAATTATTGGTGTTTCATATTTAGTGATGCCCTTGACACTCATTATGTATAATTTAAGATATGCATACAAATGCAGGGTGTTAGTGGGGCTGACTCTCCAAAGTTAGAAAGAGAGAGGAGACAGAGAGAGGAGAAAAAGAAGAGAGAGGAGAGAGAGAGGCAGGCAGCAAGCTCATAAAAGTCAAGAATGCTACAGAAATTACTGAGCAGTGGTGTAATAAAACTAAATGGGGTATCTGGCAGAAAAAAAGGGAAAATTAGCCAAATCAAATACATCTGAAAATAAAGACGGCTAAGTCCAGTTCTTCAATTCCAGAGTTGGAAAGCAGAACTGAACTCATGGAAAAGCATCTGCTGCCACTATTCGTGGGTGGCACCACGGATCCTTGGTTTAGGCATGTCCCAATGTAGGGCGTGCAGACAGTGGCAAGAAGCAGTTGGGGGCGCTGTGCTCTTCTGAGTCCCTCACTGCTCTGGGTCTCAGGTGAGGAGGTAAAGCCAGGAGTGATACCACGCATTCCCGGCCCCAGACACGGTCCTTGTGCTGGTGGTAGAACATCATGATGCAATATACATTTTAAACCATTCATTGAACAAACACTGTGTGTCATGAACTGTACTGGTACTTCACTGGCATTATCTGTAATCTTCACAAAGATTCTGTTGAATGGTTATTATGACTTTTTTTTTTCCTCGTTTTAAATCCAAGAAAGTGGAGATTTGTTGAGAGTTGAAGGTTTTTTGAGAGTTTGCATGCAGTTTGCAATGGATGTTAACCTCAAACCCCGACCTTCCGATGACAAAAGACATATCACTACATACCTCTGTATTCTACCGGTGGGTAGTGGGATGTGAAAATCCATACAGAAGGAAGTGAAACGCAGCTTGTGTGTGGGCCACAGGCTACGACAACACTTCTCTACTACATCCAGGACACTGCAGGCTGGGGCAGTATGCGGGGGCTGGTGCCGAGGATATCAGTAGGTAACATCCGTGTGTCCTGGGCACAGTTCTACACAGTACTTTCCCACTATTCTGTCGGAAACTAAAGTTTTACAGTAATATGATGATGATAGTAATGAAATTAAGAACAGGCTATTTTGTTTAACTCCAAGATTCTTAAAAAACAACAATTTAAAAGTTACAAAAGTACAAAAGCATTGTAATTGTGAATTTTAAGGTTATAGCAATAATATTCATGTAGATTTAATAATGAAAAATTTTTATTTCTAGTATTATGCTTCTTAGTTTTATGTCATTTCCATGTATTTCTAGGTGAATACAACAGTGAAAGGGCCATGGATTCATATCCAAAATGTTATCCAAGGCAGAATGAAATTTGTAGGTGACAGCAGTACTGCCTATCTGACACATATATGTATCAGTGTGTTTTTCACAATATAAAAAACCTCAAAGTCCATTATCTTCTTTTTTTGTAGAAAGAATGATTATATTTGCGCCATGAGGTAAATATAATCAGAAGTTGTCCAAATGTTAAAACTGGCAAATACAAGATTTTTACCAACTATAAATGGGAGTATTTTGCAAGATAATTCTTCAGTTGGTTGTCTGGAATTGGGATATATTTTCTCATATCAAAAATCTCAGAAAGGGTGATTAAGTCTCCAGTGCATCTACAAAAGTCTGTCTATATATCCCATAGAAATATGTATCCACCTAGCAACAAAAGGCACAAGCAAGAATGTTCACAGAAGCATTATTTGTAATAGCCTCAAACTGGAAACAACCCCAGACTTGACATCTGGCAGCAGTAGAATGGAAAAACAAATTACAGGCCAGATATACAATGGAATTCTACACAGCAGCATTAGGAATGAGCTGCTGGCAGACACAACAATACAGATGAATCCCACAAGCCTGATGTTGGGGAAAAGAAACCAATCACACACAGAAAGTGAATACTGTATAAGTTCATGTATATAAGGTTCAGAGGCAGGTAAAATCAACTGAGAAGAATGAAAGTCACCACGGTGATGACCTCTAGGAAGGAAGGAACCGGTAGCGGCTGACATAGTCCCTAGAGGTTTCTGGAGTGCTGCTCAGAGTCTACCTGGGAGGTGGTTCTACTGGTGTGTTCGCTTATCATGATCCACATACTTTTCTAAATGTGTACTATACTTAAATAACAATTACTCAGGGCACGGTGGCTCACCCCTGTAATCCTACCTGGCACTTTGTGAGGCTGAGGTGGGCGGATCACCTGAGGTCAGGAGTTTGAGACCAGCCTGGCTCTACTAAAACTACAAAAATTAGCCAAGTGTGGTGGCAGGTGCCTGTAATCCCAGTTGTTTGGGAGGCTGAGGCAGGAGAATTGCTTGAACCTGGGAGGTGGAGGTTGC